CGCAGGAGGGGCAAACGCCCCGTTGACGGGCGGTTTAACGGAGCTCTGCCGCCGGGAAATACCCACGTGCTGCTGCGGTAGCTAATTTCTAATTAGCCAACACAAGCCTTTGACAGGGCAAAGAGCGCCGTGCCGGAGCAGAGCTGCCCAGCATCAAATATTCATCGCGCAGCAACTCTCAGGCGGCTGCGCTGCGTTTGAGGCAGCAAAGAACTGCCGGGATCAGCGAGCTAAAAATAGCCGAGCAAGCCAGGGCGGGAAGGCAGCGAGCCGGGAAGCGGCCGGCAGCGCGCGGCACGCGGCACCTCCGCCCCGCGCGCAGCGCCGGAGGCTGCGCAGGTCTCGGCTGCGAGCTGAGGAACCGTCCCTGCGCTGCGCTTGTCACCCAGAGCAGCTTTAGGACGAGGGCCTGCTCTGGAAACGCTTGTTTACGTTCCCATTTTTCTGCTGAATAATTCAAAGGAAGTGGGGTTTTTTTGGACAACAAAGCCTTGAAGGCATCACATAAAGAGCCCAAGAATGTAAAATATTCAGTGTTTATAAACACAGTTAATAAACAAAACCCGAGGAGCTCGGTGCCTCCCATTCTTGCAGCACAGAACAGAATATTTGGGTTTAAAAAGGAAATAAAGGCCCACTCAAGTGGTGAAAGCACCTACTCAAGTCCCGCTCAGGTAGGAGCGGTGCAGCGGGACGGGGCAGAGACCCCAGCCCGGCGCAGCCCCCCACAGGGCTCTTACCAGCAGCTGCGGCACCGGCAGAGGTTTCCCCTCCTTGCTCAGCGACACGTAGGTGAAGAAAGCACTGACCGCGCGGTATCGTTCTTGCGGCTCATCCACAAAGGGATCGGCGTCCACAAAGACCTCAATCTCCATGGATTTATTGCTCGTGAAGGTCATGCGCCCAGAAATAGTAATAACACTACCTGCAAAACACAGATGGGTCGGTTAATCAGCAGCAGCAGCAAACAGCAGCCATCCATTACCCAGAACATAAAAGCCTTCCCCAGCCAAAGGGCCAGCGGACCAGATCAGCGCTTAGGAGAAAACCACAGCGACAGTCGCTAGCAAACAGGGTGCACTGAACCTCACCCCGTGTCTCGCTTACGCAGGTGTTATTTTTTCCTTTCCCTATTTTCTTCCTGCGCACTGCAGCGGCAAAGCCCAGTGTCAGGAGTCAGCAGCCGTGCTCTGGAACAGGCTAATGCGAGTCTCTAGGCAGCACATGCGCGAGCAAGCACAAGGCAGCCAAAGCCCTGCGACCCTGGGAAGCACCTGGCAGGAATCGCCCTCCTCCCACCCTGGGGCCGTGACCGCCCCGTCACCTTTCTTGATCTTCTCGTGGAAGTTGATGGCATCCACGGAGGCCGTGACGATGTTGGTCTTGCAGTGGCGCGCCGCCACGATGCCCGCCACCTCGTCCATGAGCTTCATGGTGACGCCTGCGAGGGAAGGCAGCGCTCTGAGCGCAGCGGCGCTGCCACCGAGCTCAGCGCGCCCGGCCCCGGCCCGCAGGGTCCCCGAGCCCCAGGGACGCTCACCGCAGCGCCCGCAAGACCCCGCGCTCCAGGCGCCCTGGTCCGCTCGGTTGCCGCCCCGCGCTGCCGCCAAGCCGGAGGAAACCGCTCCAGCAAATTGCAGCAATTTCACGTCTGGCATTTATAATCTGAGATTTGCAGTTTAAAAGACGACAGCAAAATTGTAGGATTTAGAGCCTGACTGTGTCATTTTTCTGCATTTTTCCTCAACATCAGAAAAGGCCTGTTTGGCTCTGAACACAAGATGGAACATCTGCTGCTACAGATACCGCCGAATGCCACGTTTGGCTGCCCGAGGATCCAGGAAGCAGCGAAAACACGTTGGCGATCTTTGAAATGGTCGTTAAAAACAGACCCTTCAAAACAGAGAAAAAAGTTGTCCCTGAAAGGGGAACGCCCTCGGAGCAGGGACCGTGTCCAGGAGCCGCGTCCCGACAGGCAGCTTGGGAAGAGCAACGGTGCTAACGCCGCTGTCGCCAGCCCGCGCGCCCGGCCGCGCCGCGGGGAGGGCTCCCACTCACCGCCGTGCACGAAGCCCAGCAGGGTGCAGTCCGATGGGCCCACCAGGTGGATGAGGCTGGACTGGCTGTAGCCCACGGTGTGCGGCTCTGCTCAAAGCAAAGGGACACAAAGCAGAGAGGTGAAGCTTCGCAAGGCGGCCGCGTCCGACGCGTTGCCAGAGCGGTGCCAGGAGCCCGGCCACGACGCCCGGCCCACCTCCGAGGATGAAAGCGATGCGTTATGTGACGCAGAATGGAAATGCTTCCCCTCAGCAAAACCAAACAACTGAAACGGTCCTGAAGAGTCCCAGAAGAAAGGGCTGTTTAACACAGGACACACTGACAAGTCTCGCTAGCGTTAACCCATCAACTATATTGAAATTCAGCTTGGTTTGGGGTTTTCTTTTTTTGTTTGTTTGTTTTTTTCTTTTTTTTTTCCCTAACGTTAACGAAAGGCTCCAGAGTGAAAATAACCTGAGCAGGATTTGTAGCTGCACGGTTTTCTTTCCCAGGCCATCAGCTGCATGCTGAATGGAAGCACAGCACACTCAGTTTTCCTGAGTCTCACTTACTCACCCGTCTGCCATTTAGCAACGCACCGAAAGGACCGCGCTTTCAGCTCAGCCTCAACAACATCCCTATTCCCACACCCCCCTTACCCTCAGCCTTACCTTTAGTCTGCCTGTCTGCAAGCAGGGAGAGCAGAGGAGAAAGGCATTTAAGCAACTTGTCATTACGGTCACTTTTCATCATTACATCAGTCCCCACGTGTTCTGGGGTGACAGCCGGACACGCTCGGCATTTTAGCAGTTTGGAGCCAGCCCCATAGGCACTAATGGCACAAAGTCCCAGGGTCCCCGCCGCTGCGCGCGCCCGCCCGGTGCTGCGCGGTACCTGGGCCCATCACCGGGACGATCGCGTCACCGTTTCTCTGCTTCGTTTCCAGTCGGTCCAGTTTCTGCTCCTCGTAGCGCTTCCTCCCCTCGTCCTCCTGCTCTTTGCGCACGTACTGGAAGGGAAGGGTGCGGGGTCAGCGTCCTGTGCCTGCCCCGGGAGGGTCTGCGCAGGCTGCTCATGAGATCCGCTCATTTTCACATGTTCTTCCCTGACCAAGAATTATTGCACGGGGAAGCAGAGCCCTCCCAGCCGTTTGCATTCACTGGGGGACGAGCAGCAGGGATTGCTCCCCTGGGTTGAGGGCTGCTCCTTGAACAGAGCCGTTTCACCACACTCAACGCAAGCCCGTGAGCACTGAGGCTCCTCCAGATGTGAGCGCCGGCTGCAGACCCCACTCTGAGCAGCCCTGCGAGCGGGAGCCACGGGCCAGCGCAGCCAGCGCGCCGCGGAGCCAGGGCCCTGCCGCTCCGGGCGCCGCGGTCTCACCTGCATGGCAGGAACTTCCACCACTTTGTTCACGTTCTTCAGGGACAGTGGCACGTACCACAGCGTCGCTTTGTTCGTC